CGAATCGGCTTCCGCCCCATAAATTAGAGCTACGCGTTCCGTCTACCCTGCAAGTTTTCCGGTACACGGGTACCAGTCCGAGGGAATAAGATACCCGAATGAACCAACCACTCATTGCACGACAGACAATCAGTGCGTGATCCCGAAATGAACTGCAGCTCCTGTCGCTCTCTCATGGCCGGACTACGGCTCTCCGGATGTGCTTTGCCGTAATCTAGGATACCATAGCACCATTTTGTCCGAAACGGCTTGCCAAAACGCCCACGCAACGAAGAAACACCTCCAAATACGTTTAAGCGCCGCAGTCTGAACTCCATCCTAAATCATGAGCCCGTCATTGCACCGGAGGTACAAAGGGCTTTCGCCTCTATGCATGCCCCTTAACAGGCATCAACAAATGTAGAAATGCCACCTACCCCGGCACGGCTTAACTCGACGCCATACAGAGGGCAGAGAACCGAAGTTTGCATGTCTCCCGCGCAGGAATCTCCTTCCCCAATGGACATCTTAGCAGATGTGTACTGTGGGAGCGTGATACTGCACTACCTTGCAATTCACGCAGTAACACTTTGTTGGCTTAAGGTATGTGCGCCGAGCCATACGTGACCCGCATCAGTGGTCCAGCTTATTACTAAAAAATATTGTGATGTCCATAACAGCAACGTAACGACCTTTAACAGACATGATCGACCCTACTACTTTTGGTTTGTACATTTACTATCTTTTACAATTTTTTTCGGCTTGCGTGACTGGTTGCCTTGCTGTTTTATGCATATTTATCAATTCACAAAATTTGATTACCTGGAACACTGAATATTATTGATCTGGCATTTAGGGCCGTTGCAGTCGCAGTGATATCCATAAACCGTCAGAAAAATCTGGTAGTGAACCGTTGAACAGTAGAAATGCTGCAAACCCTGCTGTCAACTGTTCAACGGTTCCGTTGCAGGTTCTGAAGCAACGAAAATTGCCTTCCTTCCCGACAAGAAAAGGCCATTTAATTGGCACCGTACCGTAAGGATGTGTTGCTCAATCACCAAAGCCACATCCTGTAACCGCTTCCCCTTTTTCAAAACGCAGACCTTCATCCAACAATCCCCCCAAACGTCTCTCCTCGGCTTTTCTTCCCATGGGAAACAAAAAACTGACCCTGCTCCAAAAGAAAAATATGTGAGGAAAAAATTCGTCGACAGAGGGCAGGTGAAACAACTTCGCGTGCTGCAATTGCCAAATGGGCCAAAGCTAAAATTTCCCCCGGAGAGACTCTGAGCAAGTCAACATGTCGCGCATTTTAAGCAAATCGGTCAATCTTGTGTCCAGGTTTAATCAAGAAATATCAAAAAAATCAGGGACAAGAATGGAAAAAACCATCGCGTTGAGGAAGCACTCTTCGAGTGGGTTTGTAACCAGCATGCGGCAAGAAAAATATCAACGGGGAATTTATTCTCCAAAAGGCGATCAAGCTGCAAGCTTTGGCCAATAAACAATTAGATATTGGGGAGCGGACCAATTTATTGTTTTCGGAGGGTTGGCAGGATAAGTTTAAACGCCGTTGGGGCCTACGGGTTTTCAGGTCGCATGGTGAGGCTGGAGACGCGGACATTGAGGTAATGAATGCAGCAATGCCAAAGCCCAGAGAAGCAATAACCGCGTATGATTGCAAAGATATTTTCAACTGTGACGAGTGCGGACTTTTTTATCGCTTGGCACCAGACAAAAAATAGCGCTTGAAAGGCTGGCGGGTCGCAAAAAGGAAAAAGAGCGCATCACATTTATGCCATGCTGCAATGCAGAGGGGACAGAAAAAACAGAGCTGATGGTCATTCGGAAATCTTTTAAACCGCGATCTTTTAAAAAGAGATCAGGAGCCGAGCTAGGATTTGACTACCATGCAAACAAGAAAGCATGGATGACGACAATTGGTTTTTTGGATGGCTGCAGCGATTCCAAGACTACGTTGCCTGGACCCCTGGTCGCAAAGTTGTTTTGTTTATGGATAACTGTAGTGCACATGGTACGAAGGATAATTTAACGGTTCTGCCCAACGTGAAATTCATACTCCTTCCAGCTAACTGTACCTCTAAGGTACAACCAATGGACGCAGGTATCATTGCTTCTTTAAAAGTACGGTACAGGAAGTTTCATAAGGAGAGGGCACTGGAAAACCTCGATTCAGATGTTAACGACATTTACAAGGTTGACTTGTTGGTGGCGATGAGATGTTTTAAAAGGGCATGGATGGAGCTTCGCCTATCTCGGAAATTACAGCACGTGAGGGTCCTGTGGTACATGAGCACCCTTGTACCGACCCCATCCACGGGCCCCTTCTTCAGTGGTCTACAGAAGTACTTGGAAATGGATAAGTGGACGGCACGCGACCTACCACATGCGTACACGTGTATGGAAAAGTCGCAAGAATAAGGGACGGCTACAGTATAGCCACCCCTGCTTACAGACACTCAAACACTATTACAGACAGTTTCAGACATTCAGAGACTGGATCCGAAGATACTTCATAGTAGGGGGGAGCAGCCGTCCAATTAGTCCTGGTATCGTTCTTAGTTTCCCATAAATGGTACTTACAACACGCGCCACGTGAAGGCGAACGAAATTCGAATCTTGACAACAAGGTTCCGGGACCTGAAGCCTCCAGTATTAGTCTGGCTGCCTTTGGATCCTTCTTCTCATTCCCTAACCGGATGTTCAGGACCCCAAAACCGGCAATCTCTAGCACTAATAACAACCAGCTCAACGCTGGTCTACTCGAGATCTCCGGTTTCAAAGCTCATCCTACCCCGTTAAGGCCCTCTCCAAAGGAGAAGCGCCGATTGATTATAGTAGCTGAAACAGTTGGGTATCACCCCGATTCCTTCAAATGGAAGACAAGCGCACAAGGAACTCGTCAATGATAAGTAACTTACTAATTCGAGATTAGTAGAGAAATAATCTCCGGTTCACAGCTGTGAATTCTGTTGCCCCACTAGGGGAAAGTGAGTCACGCAAAAATACGGAAAGGGGATGAGTGGCCTTCGGCCACTTATCCCCCGTACTTGTCGCTTTTCTGGCGTTGTCACTGTTTCTCAGACGTGTACACGTGTACCATATTCAGACCGATGCGGCCGCCACTGTCCTCCCTTAAATTGTTCATGCTCCAAGAGCACGAGTATATTCTCTTCTTCATCCCGCCCCGCAGCCGTCCACATTGCGCGCAATGATGTTGAACTCCGCACCCACTGTCAAAAGCATGCGCAAAAGATTGGCTCTCTCCGAAAAAGCAGATATTATTCACCAGCTCTGTAATGGGTTCACCGTGAGAGATGCAGCAACTCGTTTCGGTTGCAATCCGCGAACAATTCAAAAGATCCGTAAGAATTCTGTACGACTTCTTTGTTACTGAGAAACTGCCGCCACTGTCCGATGTTGCCCAGATATTTGGGGGGTGGAGGCTTTGGCGGAAAGGGCAAGTGTCGTTGGGGCCAGCGAGGGGCTTCGTCGGGCAAAGCGAGCCTTGTACCGAGAGCAGACGAGATAGAGAACATGGCAGACGCTCATTTTCGAGCATTTTGAGTAAAGGACCTATGCCAGCAATGCGATCTTAGTAGTTCGTTCTGTCAATAGTTCGCATTTTTGGGTCCTGGCAGGGGGGTGAACTATTGAGGGGTGCCTACTGTATTAAGTATAAACATTTTCATCTCCACTAAGTTGCTCTTATAGACACCGTTCACGCTGTTTACCAAAAAATGCTTAAAAGGCACGCTAACTTTCGTCTTGTGGTTTCCAGTAGAGCATCCTATACTTTACAAGCAATACCTGTACCCTCAAATTCAAAGCTGTGCCAGAGGGGTCACATTGCTATGTATGTGCTCGAGACGAAGATTTTGTGAAAAAGTAGAGATGCAACTTTTCCAAAGCGACCTGAAATTCTGTATGGGAGTAACAAAACATCCTTTTCAGTTGTTCCACTGCTTAGCCATTTCGAAACAGATTTATGCGCAAATCATCCAGGCTGTTTTTTTTATGAAGAGTCAAACACACTGGGTTGCACCAATCCACGTGACTCCTCCTCATTGCACCCCAAAGCTCAAGAAGTTTCTTTGCCTAGCATGAAGGATAGGGTGCCTCCATGATTCGTTGACGTTCTACCTTTCAGTCATTGACTTCTGAACCCGCTCGGACTTCTCAGTGGACTTCGCATTCTAATCTATCTCTCAAACAACCTCACGTCTACCATCACCCTGCACCAAATTCGACCCCCTCCCCCTTCTCTACCGAAACTGCTTCAGTCGTTTTTCTGGGTGAGTGGGAATTTCAAAATAACTACATTGTTCCCACCGCAACGTCGCGGTCGTCGTCTGGAGTGACAATATTTTCGATTGGTGATAACAGGCTGGAAAGCCTGTCTTAGTTCTTTAAATCAAACCTCACACAATGCGCAGGCTTGTCTTCAGTCTCCCGGCTGGCGTAGTTCTGGAACCGCATGCCTGAAAAGACCCAGGGGAGGGTGTCTGGGAGGGCGATGAGGAAGTGTAGTAGGGTACCCTTGGGTACTGCTACAGTATGAAAGTACCTAATAGAGTGGAGCTGCGAAATTGAGGAAATTTCTGCAGTATTGGTGCCTTCTTGTTCCTGGCCTCGACGGCCTCTGGAACGGCCCAGAGCTCCCCAAGTGTACAAGTATATCTACAATTCCATTCCGAAAATTTTGGTCGTACTGTACTACAGTACGCAGTACCAAGGGTACTGTACAATATATCATTTTATGGCAACGCACCTCCTCGCTGTCAACAATGCGGCCCTTCCCCTCCACCTCAGCCTCGCTCGTCTTTGTCGCCCAACTATTATCGCAGCGTGCAACATCTCTTCCTTCCGTCCACTTTGTACGTAGGTGGTAACAGTTCCACTCATTTTGCGCTCTACCATTTTCAACGTTTACGCTAGCTCTTGTCCTACTTCGTAAGGCCTTCGTGCCGCACGCCGTCCGTTGGAAACCCGCCAAGAGCATGGAGCACACATTAGTCGACAAGAGCATTGCTCTTCGAGACGACGATCATGTGGAGATCACAGTTCTTGACCCCGATCAACGTGATGAAATGCAAAGAGACCGTGAGCGACTACTTCGATCTCACCGAGAGTTTTCGGCCCAAGTTCCTTCGCAGCACGGGCTGAAGAGACCTTTCCCGTTTGAGAGGTAAGCCACCACCTTTGCGACTTCCTTGCATATCTCGCTTTTTCGGTTCTGACATAAACGACCTCTATCTCGCCACTACATTACTCGCATCTACGGGGTTTTTGCGTACAGTTCATCAGTTCAGAAGAATGTTGGAGCCAAGCGCTTGCGCAAAGACGCCGGCACTCGAGGTCGTCCGGAAACGCAGGGGACCGTACCAAAAAGTCCCCTAGATGTCCTGACAGACGATTTATTAATGGAAATATTTTCACACCTTCCCCAGCTTCCTTCCATCCTTACTATTCGCCAAGTCTGTCAAAGGTGGAAGACGCTTTCTTGTAACCCGCGCTTATGGAGAGCTCTGTCGTTCGAAGGTCACGAACATGTCACATCAAGTAATGTAAAGGCCCTCTGTAGAAGCATGTCTACATTTCCAATGCTGAAAACGCTTTCCTTAGCCAAGGTCCATGGCGTTGGTGATGAGGAAGTAAGAAATATCCCTCGAACATGTGCTGCCTCTCTGCAAGACGTGGACTTATCTTGGTGCAGTGGAGCGACTGACAAAAGTGTTGTTGAGTTCTCGAGATGCCCAGGTCTGCGTGAGCTACGGTTGTCACACTGCCGAAGGGTTACGAGGCGGAGTGTTCGCATTTTGGCAGTGAGATGTCCGCGATTACAGGTTCTAGATATGAACTGCATTAGTGGAGTGCGAGATTCGTTGCTCAAGGTGATTGGCCAAAACTGCCCCTTTCTCCGCGTGTTGAACATTGCCAATGCGCGGAATGTAACGGATGAGGGCGTTACGCACATGACAAGAGGTTGCGTGAGGCTGGAAGTGCTCGATCTGTCGTGGTGCCTGAGAATTTCAGACTATTCAGTTTTGAGGATCGCTGAAAATTTACCACATCTTCGTGAGTTGGGTTTGTCCGAAACGAGGGTGACGGACATTGGTATGTCAGAACTGACGAGGTGCTGCACACGGCTACAGATCTTGCACCTTGCAAGGTGTGTCTACATAACAGACACTGGAGTCGATAGCATCATTTCTCATTGTCAAAAGCGATTGATCTCTCTAAATCTAGCGACTTGTGAACTCGTTTCCGACCAGTTCGTTGAACGCTTGATCAGAGAATGCCCCAAGCTCAAGAGTCTAGACGTGTCAAAGCTGCCATGTCGCGAGATATCTGGTATGCTCGACCAGATTACCAACGCTCGAGATATCGAAGTCTATTTTTGATTTGAGTTACGCAAGAGAGACGCCGGTAATCGACGTCAGGAGAACCGTTACGGTCTATAATCAGGTACATTGCAAGCTTTGATCTTCGCGTACCTCACTTGTAGAAGCTCTTGTTGTCGCTTATAGCTCAAACTGTGCATCTGCAGATGTCACTGTGTGTGAAACAGCAACTGGGGAAAGGCCAGTTTTTGCCGTTCGACAGCTTACCTTCATTTGTAACACCACTTGTTCTCGTTATATATCTGATCGGGATTGGTCACACAACGAGCACGCATGCCACTAGCGTTGGGCATCCCATTGCACGCAACTACTGCAAATCAAAACAGATGGATGGTCATATGTGGCTTCCCTACTTGTTCAAATATACTTTCGATGTGCCTCCCGCTTACTCTAAAGATAGAAAGTGAGGCATGAGCCTTGTGTTTTTGAGCTAGGGGACAGATCCATGTGGTGTTCCACAAGAGGCAAAGGTATGGCACGCGCTAGCGGTCGCAATTTACGAACGATTGGCTGAGACGATGCAGTGATGCAAGAGGCTGTTAGGACGATGTAAGGCCATGAACCCAACCGCGTGGCGTGACGTCCGGCAGGCGATTTAATTAGAGGTGAGCTACCGGGGCCCGGACGGTCTTGCGCAAACGACCGTTGAAAGGATACAACACTGAGCGCGAGGTCAGAAGTCGGACCAAATTGTCCTAGTCAATGAAGCTAGCGAAGACGCAGTTACCGTTGTTTACGTCCACGAAAGGGTTCATGAACCAATAGCTACCTTGTGTCGACACCACTTCATCTTTATATTGCGAGTGTAAGGATACCGGTTTGAGCGTTTAATGTTACTCTACGTTCTTCGCTGCCGCCCGAAGTCTTCGCTTGAAGTTGAAGCCAAGGAATCTTCCTTTCGGCTTGGACGATCCAGATGCAAAATCTGTAAGTTCTTCGTGCATCTGCGAATCTTGGGCCGGAGCAGAGATGGGCCCCTGCGTTGACGACAAGCAGTCCAGTGTCCACTGTACTGCACTGCGAACCTTGACATCATTCCCATGGAGGTCCAGAGTGGCTTTCAGAGCCTCCACTGCGTGAGAGCGCTCAGCATAAGTTTTGCCTTCTGGTTCACCTTTGAGCAACTCTGCCAACGCATCAGTTGCGCATCTGGCGACGCGAGCATTGTCACGTCTTTGGTTGAGGATGCTGATGGTGGTCTCAATCGCCCCGACTTGCCGAAGCCGCTTTCGGGAAAGTGAACCAAAGGAAGCTAGAAAAAGGCATGCCTGACAAGCGTACCAACTGACCTTGGCACCAGGTTCACCAGGCCAGTAGTTAGAGTTTTGCATTAGAGTCGTAACCCTCTCGGCTATGCATGATTGGAGCATTGCTTCTTCGCATTCGACATTGCGCCATTGAGCTATCGCACGAATAAACTGGCAGCAGAGAACGAGAAATTCAGGATCGTCGTTCCTCAACATAATTTCTGCCAGGGCCTTCAAACCAGAGCTCATGACTATGTTTCGACGCCCACCGGTGTAAAACGAGAACGCGCGGAGGGCAGACAGTATATCACCCTCTAAACTGTGGTCAGTAAACACTGCCGCTGACCTGGAAACAGCATCAAGGGCTGAGACTTGCACCAAGAACTCCGAAGCGCGCTCATTGCCTTGGGCAATCTGCCTAACAGCGTTGAGCGAGGCTCGAGCGAGCTCGATATTCTTAAATGATACATTGTTCTTAGTCATGGCCCTGTAAACCGCTGCCGGTCCCCCTAGCGTAGCAACAGCCGATCGGGAAAGCTCGCTCGCCCCTGCGATAGCTGCCAAACACTTGCATCCAGATGTTTGAACAGGAACATCAATCTTGTGCCTGTTCATCAATTCGACAACTTCAGACGGTACACCTGTTGCTCTAATGCGGTGTCCCACTTTGTCATTGTAGTGTTCCGATAAGATGGTCATGGAATCACAGAAAATTACACACAGTTCCGTATCGAATTCACCGAAACGCACGGCTCCTGACAGAAGTACCTCAATACCCCCTTCTTCACAAATATCAAAGTACGTAAGCTCATCCTTGCAATGTCCTAAGATGTGTGCCATGCCTACCCTGGTTACTAGCGGCGAACAATTATGTTCTCTCATTGTCTGCAATATAGAAGAGATATCCCCGACAGTGTGTGCCCTCACTATGGAGTGCATAGCATTTTGTTCAAAGTCCGAACCCTGACTGTCCCTCGCCTCTGAATCTGAAGCATTTTTCTGTTGCCCTGGCAGCGTCTCTTCTGATGAGTCAGTCGTTCTCTTACGCTTCATGATTACTTCGGAATCTTTCTCGAAAACTGTGTCCACGCGATCCGGCCAGTCGAGGTTCAACGGCATCATCGGTTCATCGCTCATGTACATATTTCCGTTTGTCTCATCGGCTCTCTCATGAATCGATTTTGCACTTGCTTCCTTTTGGGAAACTGTTTGCGAGGTATTGCCTTCCCCTTCGCCCACTCGCTGTAATCCCTCACTACGTTGGAACGCGACGCCAACGAGGTCTTGCAGTAAATTGCAAAGAACGTCGACCGTCGGTCTGTCATCCATCGAATGCGACCAACATTTCTCCACAAGTTCCTTGAGCGCCTCGGGAATGTGTCCGTAAAAATCTTTCTCTCCATCTTTCGGCCATTCAGGACGAGCACCTCGGGCCAGCCTCAAACCAACCTCAATTAGCGGAATTTTCTTCCACGGTTTTCTCAGAGTTAACATTTCATACATCACCATACCGAACGAAAATACGTCTGTAGCAAAAGTTTCCTTGCCGGTGCTGAGAGCACTTTCAGGTGCCATATAATTAACAGTTCCCATCGACTGTCCAGTAGATGTGATGGTTGTCTCAGTGAGAATAGTCTGGATTCCACTGGATGCAAGTCCAATGTCTGAAATGCGAGCTTGGGCCGAAGGCGGAAAACGTCCGGCGGCATTGAGCTTTGCGGACAGCAATATGTTCTCAGGCTTCACTTCACCCCATGTGTAACCAGCAGCGTGGACAGCCCGTAGTCCGCCGGCAACTTGTAAAGATATGCGTATGAAGCTTCCTAGATCAAGAGGAGTGTGTAACTTGCGCAACTGACGTAAAGCTGCCCCCATGGACCCCCCCTGCATGAGCTCGGTCACAATTAAAACGGAATCATGTGCAGAAACTATTACTCCCAGAGTTTTCACAATACCCGGATGCACGAGCTTCTCTTGATTTTGGATTTGCCTGGCAAAGTCTTGGAGCGCATCCGACCTCTTTGCTTTCACAAAGGGGTCATTGGCCATGTGCGGGGAGAGGGAGTCCAACGAGACTCGCTTGACTGCTGCTAGTTCTCCGTAATATCTGCCAACGTGCACTGACCCGTACGTTCCCACTCCCAGATGGTTAACATTGTCGTCAAAGTCCACTTCTAGATGAGCGCCGTTGAGGATAGCTGCCCCCTCCTCGACATGCACCGGCGGCAAGGGTAGAGAAACTGGGCTTGATCTTGGAGAGAAGGTGTCGCCTGCGTCGCGGTCACGGGTGTTAAAGTGAAGTTGTGATATCTGGGAGGCAGCGGAAATGACCTCCTCGTGAGCGTGGGGCGCCGAGTCAGGGCGTGGAACGCCGGTCATTGCGGTGGGCGGTGCTGAAGAAACAACGGAATGGGATACGTCGAGAAACAGCGAAGCCAGCTCTCGGAGGTGATATTTTGAAACGCAACGAGAGAGGAGAAGAGGCGAGGGGTGTGCGGTGTGTGGAAAGATGATTTAGGTGAGCAGTGCCGCAGCAGGCGTGCATATCGTGAACTGAGGTTTCTGTTGGTGCCATACATTGAAGCACTGAAACGCTACCCACAACGCGGCGGGCACAAGGCAAGTCCTTCGGGTACTGGATGTGGTCCTACACTCACGTGTACCCAGGCGCATGTACAACCACACCCCAGCAGTGCTGGCCCAGTAGCTTTACCCCTATGGGAGTGCCACCAGGCTGTGCACCGGTGGTGCCAGCGCGGCAACGAGGTTACTGCATTGCGGAGCTTCGCAGGGGGAGCTCGCAAATGCTATCGAACAGTGCGAACAATGGCATGACCCGTCCACTCCAATACGTGTACAGCAAAGGGATGCTTACAGTATAGTCCTTGCGTCAGGGATCTTGTCTTTGTCACAGTCTTTTCGTCTTTTGGTCTGCAGTGCAGACCAAAAGACGAGGGTACTGTAATGTTTCATACAGTGCAGACTCTGCACTGTATGAAACATTACAGTACCCTTGGTACAGTACATATTGTACATGCACTGGGCTCGCCGTGCTTCACCCATTGGCACAGGGTGACATTACACCGAGTCCGTTCTAGGGCATTGCTGTTGCAAATCCAGATCTCATCAGATCGCGCTTCAAAGCGGATCCCCCTTTCACTCAATACGTAACCGGGATACGCCATATGGAATATCTCTTGCTCCCGTAACTCGTGTGTCCTCCTTACTCCACTGCGCGCACACACACACACACACATGCACATGAAGAAGACAACAGCTTCATCATTCCCCTCCCCTCCGTCGCCGCTAGCTCTGGCGGCGGCATCGGCCCGGCCACGCGCGCTCGGCGCCAGCAACTCGAGCGCGGGCTGCGTCTATAATTCGCGCGCGAGAATGGCCTCGCCTCCTTGCGCTGCTTAAGCCGCTCACATCACCTCCTCCGCCCAACCTCCCCCTCTTTCCTATGGTCCAGCGTTGCATCTGCTACCCTCGCCCGTATGCCTTCTCACGGCTCGGCCCTATCATGTACTTGTCATGTACCACCCAATTGTGAGTCTTTGACGCCCGTCCTGTAATACTGTATAGCGTCGTCCCCCGTTGAAAGTTAGATAAATAACCAAATCTCTAAATTACTCTACTGTGTGCGGCTGACCGCCGGCCTTAAATATTATTTGCTTGTATTTTGCAGTCTGTCCTGTCCGGTCTGTCAAGACCTTCCCGCGCTGTAATCGTCCATGCCTGCTTCAGTGCAAGCATGCAAATCTATCCGGAATCTAGCACAACGTACCGTGCTCACACAACTTCTACTCTCCAAGGATACCAAGGATGCTTTTTGGTGTTCCCTTCAGACGCGAACTCATGTGTCGCTGGTCTGATACGGTTACCACTGCGGTGCACAAGGGCTCGAACTCAACCCCACTTCAAGCACTCGCGAGAAGCCCTGGGACAACCATCTGCTTCGAAATTCACATGTTCACTATATTTCCATGGAGGCAGTCTTGATTTCAAAAAAGCGCAACGGCGACGTGAAGCATAGCCAAATAAACTGTAGAAAATGGAATCTTGTACCACTACTTTCTCCTTGAGAAACTGCTCCTCACCGAATCTCCGGCCAAGAGGGCGCAGTAGACGACTATCTTTGTAATAATGCTACGGGCTGGTCACGACGTTTGCAGAGGCACTACGGTACAATATGTACTTTCCGTTGCGTTCAGTAATTTCCGGATCAGTATTTAGCACTCTCGAACAAAATATGAGCGCTTTTATCAAGAGTATGAGCACAGCCGCTGCGGCTATCCGGGATAGTATCGGATACTGTAGCCGAAGACTCCATCTTCTGAAATATTTTTCATTCCTCCGCGTTACATGTGTGCACGTAATATACGTGTACACTGCAGCTCCTGCTCTATGCGGGGACTTTCTCCGGGATGGCACCCGTTTATCATCTTAATTGAAAGGCGTCGTCGCTCTTCGCATAAGCTTCTAATCTTGCAACCCGAATAGTTGCGAGCGCCATGCCAAACTTGCCGACTTTGTCATGAGTGGTAGGGTTTTATCTGCCGCCTCGAGGTCAGCAAAATCTTCAAAGTCAACGAATCGCTTCGTGCGCTTTGGGTACAGAAAGCAGAAGCAGGAGCAAATCACGCTGCCTCAAGCCGCAGAGCAACATGGCCGTGCTCTCCCGCAAAAGTCATCCATTCGTGCCAGAAGCGATGTTCGAAAGCACAGGGAGTTTGATTGGGATCCAAGTTTGAAAGATGTCAGAACTGTTGACTATTCTAGCTGGCCAGAAGTTGGAAACTGTCCCGCTCAATTAGTTCCAGTTTTGTCAGGTCAGGATCCTAGCATTATCCCCATTCTCAAACATGGAGTAGAAGCGGTTCTTCGGGGGGACGGCGTGTATCCACTGGAAGCACCGTGGATCAAGGCTCGGGGTGTCCATAATAACGGGAGGAGGTTGCGCAGGAGAGCGAGCCATTCAGAGAACGATCAGTATCAACTGTATTACGGGGACTCACTGAGAACAATCGTTCACCCTGATCACATTGCATGGGAGAACATACCTGAATATATTCCGGCGGGGAGTGACACAAGGCTTCAGCAAATCGCGGAGTCTACCGCTAATGTGCATTTTTACTCAAGCACGAGTTCAATAACACCAGCGATCAGCGCTCTATATCATCTCATTTCTAACTTTCGGGATACTGATCTCCAAGGCAGGCTATCCTCGCATATTTCCGATTTGCCAACCTACTTTTCAAAGATGCATCGGAGACCAGTCGCATTCACAGTGAAGCGAAATAGTTTGAAAAGGCGTATCTATTCCGTGAACGCGCACTCAGGGCCTGCGACCGGGCCTAGTATTTTGCGCGATCTTGGACACTCGATGGAAAGAATGCTGACCACTTCCCCGAATGAATTCTCTACAAAATACGTTCGTTCACCGAACGAAAACAGTAGTGTTCATCACGATAATATGAATGAAAGCAAAGGTTTGGCGAGCCCGGATGAGCAATTTTACAACTATTCTAAGATCTCGAAGTTTTTATTACGAGCGCAAATTGACTGCCGAAATGAGAACACTGGCGAAGTTTTCGATGTGAAAACAAGAGCAGTTGCCCCGATTCGATACGATCTACAAAACTACGAAGCGTTTTCCACGCATCGCCTCCGCTTCTTGAGAGGTAAGAGAGATTCTTACGAACGGGAGTTTTACGATATGGTGCGCACAGTGTTCCTCAAATATGCATTGCAACTACGCATAGGCAGAATGTCTGGAGCTCTTGTCGCTTACCACAACACGTCTGAAATTTTAGGACTCGAGTACCTTCCTTTGAAGGAAATTAATTCATATGTTTTTGGAAGCGAGAAGTGGGGGGACATCGCCTTCGGGACAACGATGCATCTGTTGCAAGACGTATTAGAGAAAATCACAGCAGAAGTCTGTCAGGGCGATCCAAATGAAAACCTGAAGGTCGTGATGTCGACAGAATGGTCTCGTCTTCACATGTACATCTTCGTTCAACGAGTAGTGGATGGAGAACAAGACCCGTTTGGACCCTCCGTCTTTTTGGAAATGGGTGAGAACGACACATCCCCGGCTGAAAATGTAACTTCCAAGCAAAAGAATCTGAGCGGTATCGGACAATGGCATATGGACTCCTTCTTACATGCAAACTGGCGTGGTCTATCCATGTTAGGGTCCCATCCTAGCATCAGCAAGCTAGGCGGTCATATGCTGGAGCCAGTCAAAGAAGACGCAGCGCTCCGTTTAGCGAAGAGGCCGCGATCGGAGACATATGACTACTCGAACTATGATCTCACCTCTCTGACCAGAGATCGGTTCCGCGTCTGGGAGCTGAGAGTAGCCCCTCTCGTAAATGACAAGATGGCTCCCAGGAATCTTATCTGCCTTGGCGAGGAAGATAGATTTCGACTGAAGTATAACTTGAAGGAGGTTAGCGACGTAAAAACCGAGCACGTAGCCAAATTCATCACGAGCTTGGGTAGGATATATACCTACTAAGTAAATCTGATCTGATGAGCACATCTGCTTCATTTCCGGAAAAGGCAATGCCAGAGAGGCGTAAGAGGCATGACATATCACGATCTTGTTCAAAAGGATGAGATCCTTGACTTTCTTGGATATCAACGATCGCTTCCTTCGACAAACAGAACCACGTTCTGGTAGGAAATAATTGCTTGAGATGCTGTTGGGTCATAAGTGGTGCCTTTCAATGGTGAGATAGCGCAGCATCTCACGATCTTGAAGATGATATTAACGCTAATCTATGTACTGTATGTTCTAGAGCATAGCAGAATGTCGCGAGAAAGTGAAGGCCAACATGCAGTCTTCCTCTGTCAAGCTCAAATTTCGCACGCACTGACACGACGGTGTAGTTTTCCTACTAACTGCTTCGTGTGACTCCGACATCAGCCTTTTGAATGAAGTCTCCCCTTGAGGTCTTCTACTACAAGCAGTCCAGACCAACTGGATAAGCTGAGTGTGAACGGCCTCGTTGATCTGCTGGGATGGCAAGTATCTCAAATTTCTGAAATGAGCTGAATCTGTGTTCTTGGTTCTGATGGAGTGCGTGCAACAATTCGCCGGCTATCACTTTAGGATAACTTCGCCATGAGCTTCAGGCTCATTCCATAGGACAGCGCAAATGTGGCGAAACGAGACCACCACCAAATAGTACCATACAGAAAGGTTCAAATGAGGAAATGGCCTTACATTATTACGCAGGCACCGGTTTGACACGCACAACGCGCTCCAAGCAGGCTTGAAGCTCGCTGCGATCGACACTGTCGTCGAACAGCACGTTCCGGTACTCATGTCGGTCTTCTGCACGCAAAATCCATCTCCAAATCGCATCTACAGTCCGTCTCAGAACGTCAGCGCGGTTGCCGTTGACACTTGTTCCCGACGCTAGATGCGTTAAACAAAAATCGAGAGACTTGTTTCTTGTCCCGCCGTCCTCATCAGATAATACAGCAAGTACTAATCGTGAGTCCACTCCGCAGTTGCGCTTTTCGGCTATCTGCCTCTCAATCCATTGCATCGCCTGTTCTGCTCGCCCGCTTCGCGACCAGCGATGGAGCACCGCAGCCTGATCTTTAGCATCAGTACTCTCCAAAACCTCCATATCTACCTCCCTGTTGTCCGTGTGCGCCAGTGCCACGCGACGTAACTTCCCCAATTGTTCTGCGTCCGCGACATCCCCAATAAGTCGTTCTCTCAACTGCGGCCGAAATTCCAACATCACCCAGAGCTTTTGTCTCGTTTTCCGACCCGGCGGCCCAAGCCACCCTCGTCGCATTTCCCTCCATGCTCGCAATGCCCCTTCTGTGTGCTCAGTGCGAACACAGTATTCAAGAATTGCGTCAATGGCTCCGTGGGGGACGCCGATACGCCGGTCAAAGAACCAATCGACAATCTCAAAGGCATTAGCAATGTTTCCGTCAATCTCCTCTTGTTTGACCGCAGGCACTCTTAGGTATGCTTCCACAAAAGGTCTGGCTAGAGATGGCGACAATGACACTGAGTCTCCACCCTGCACTAAATTAAGCACTGCGGAGATAGTGTCGGGACACGTTGCGCGAGCCAGCAACAAAGAAATCGTGTCTCCATTGACTCTGATCCCTCTCCCTGCCATTTCAGCCATAACAGCCCTTGCCCGAGCACCATCACCGGCCGAAAAACAAAGCCCTAAAACAGCGTGCAACATCTTGCGATTGGGCTCTATACCAGTCGCAATGGCACGATGAAACACGGCTAAACCAAGCTCTAGTTTCCCGCTCCTTTCGATAAGAGAACTATACGTCCCACGTCTTAACCTTGTTTCTAAAAGTCGTGACAGCAACTCCCCCCGAAACGCGTTGCTTACATCCCCTCGGCAGAGCATCCCTCGAACAAGTAAGTCCAGCAAAATCCCCACATCCTTGTCGGGCAATGCCTGCAAAATTTGAGCTTCTGCAAGGCAATTCATGATGGCTTTCGTCTTTTCGGAATCCGAAGCCGCTACTCGCTGCACAGAGGCGACAGTCACAGCACGCAAACACACCGCCGGGTCAACTCCGGCTGGTGGAGCGGCTGCTTCTTGAGCGACGTCTGCGAATAAATCCATGCGCCCCATCGCTGCATACGTGGCAGCTCTTGACCTTAATTGATCCACGAAAGCAGACGAAACAGTCCGGCTCGTGGCCAAATGCTGCTTGGACTTATGCTTGCCATAATCAAACGGAGGGCCTGCTGGCGCCACTGACTTCAAAAGAAGGGCGCGATGCGGTAGCACTGGGCGCATGTCCGCTTCTGGTGCATGCACTCGACCGACGTCCCGTAAGCGTGAAAAGATCTCGCGACGCTTTGCCTTGTCCTTTCTCCGATTTCCAGAGCATCCACGGCGAAGTAAGGTTGACGCGCAATTGGTGCTTAGTCTTCGCGACATTCTTTCTGGTAGCAGAGAAAGATCCGAATTGCCTACACAGCAAGCAGATGAAGCAGCGACGGGTTGTCAAAAAAGTCCGACGTTTCGGTTGTACTGCGAGAAGAGCACCGCGTGGAACCATACACAGTCGCTATGAGAATAAATAAATCATTCGCCAAAGAGGTCGGTAGTATGTTGACGTGGTTCTCTCAGGTTAGCGGCCCTCAAGCTTGTTCAGCAACCCTCAACCGTGAATAAACGGATATCCGTGACCCAGCTCAGAAGTCTCCGTAGGTTGAAAAGAGCCTTAGAACTAAAAACGTGCCCGCAAAGGACGATGTGCCGGCGCACACAGCCCAACAAAGCCTGTAGAAAACTTTGCTGCAATGGACCAGCACCATAATAATTTGATAGATTTTTAACCCTATCCTAAATTATTGAGTTTCGTATCCCCGTAACCGCTGTATTTCGCTCTATTCAATGCCATTTGTTGCATACACAATAAACTACATGCCCAGGCTACAGAATGAAGCTCAAACATGGCCTGTATAGACCTGCGCAGCGTGCGATGGGATGGCCTCAAAGCCACAGTGATACGACAACGGCAGCGGCCGTACTGGACCAAATTGAAAAGCTCAGAAGGTGATGGATGTGCACTTTGATGGCAGCATATGTATGTCACAGCGCTGCGCGACGATATCTTGTGGGCCATTGTTGGACTGTGCAGTGCCATGTTTACTCTTCGCATTAACTCTTTTAGCTTCGCATGTTCAATCTATTGTTACTTTCTACTTCTAAGCCTCCTTGAACCGCCCTTGAAAGTATGTCAGAACACACCCGTGGGAGGCTTCGTACTTCCGGTAGAATTTTGACAGACTCAGTCGTTCAAGCCAGAATAAGTGTGTATTCATCCATCTCTCTCTCTTTCTTTCTTGCGCGTTCGTTGTCGAAAAGCTTTCCTCTGTCCCCATCCACCTGACGAGAGCGATGACAAACTCTGCGAAATACTTCCCATTTCGCATCCTTTTGATCAGTTGACCTTCGACAGAAAGTTTAACTTCTTCGCCGTAGTAGCTCTCCACAAAACGCGGGAGTAGTCTTTCTACTCCTGCAAAGTAACCCATCGCTCGATCTCCGAATGAGTCCACGTTCTTGCAGAAAAGGGATAAGGCACGCCCTGGTGGAAGATTCTCGAATTCTTCAATGTAGCTAGTCACCTCTTCCATTTTTAACCGAAGCCATTCCCTCGTCTCTCGTAATGGCCCCAATCTTTTCAATAGGACATCTCCTCTTCCATCCAATAGGCATATTTTATGCACAATAGGATCCAAGAGCGTGTTTTCATAGTTTTCATACTCGGACCACAATGTTACGAAGAACCTCCACCATTTTCTTAAATTGTAGATGTCGCTCAAGATTAGCGAAAGGTATGAGGAACGGACAATGTTCAGCATTTCGAATACATCAAATAGCTCCCTTCTAAAGGTGTTGTGCATCAAAACCCACAGGTCACTTGCATGTGCACCTTGACCTCCGTATCCAACCAAGCATAAAACAGGGGTTCTCAGTCGTTCGCCTTCATGGTCTATTAAAAACTCTTGGAACTCTCGTGCGTCAGCGCCATCTCTTGAACAGAATAATCGTCTGTTCAGTACCTCTCTTTCCTCGTCTTCAATTGCGTTCAAGGATTCTGGGAGGCCCCGAGATGAAAACTTCTTTTCCAGAATTATGGATGTAGAAGTAGAAATATCAGGGAAAATCGACTCTGGGTCAGAGCCTGATCTCTTCCATTCGCCGGTAGAGTACGACCAGAAATTAGGGGTGGACTGACGTTCTCTTCTCGAATTTATAGAGCTGGTAGCGGTAGACACAGAAAAGGAAGCGTTAAAGCTCTCACCCTTCTTTTTGTTGTATGTATCCTTATTTCCTCCCTCGGAACCCAAGCAAGGAGTCGCAATACTTTTAGCGTCACAAGACGTACGTGGAGTCACCTGAATGACGCTGAGGCACTCATAACCCTCGCCTGGCTCAATGCAAGTGCAAGGATATGAAAGGTTCTTATCCGAGTCTAGCACGCACGAACGACTGTCGCGGGACATTGTCAGACAACTATTGCAGCGGCGGGACGAAGCGCTGCACACCAATTGGGGTTCTTTCACGGCATGTCCTTGTGAGTGTTGGCCATGGCCTTGCAAGGACAAGGACATAATCACGGCCCAACGAAAGTTAGGTAAGCTATTTGCATGCGGCAAGATAGTCTTCTTCGGAGTGGACACGAACAGCGTACACACTGTATAGCTGCCAGCTTTTGCATTCAAGGGGTACAACGCAGCCAAACTGGGCCAGAAGTACACGTGGCAAATTATGAGCTTGTCCAACTGATCATGTGATGTGGGAGTCTTCGTGATGATGCAATTCCAGTATTATAAGTCATCCGAACACGAAGTTTTTTGCTTTTAATAGCCCTTTTTAACTAACCCTGTGCTCCCGTTTGTGACGATTACAGGGGTCTCAAAAAGTGAGACGATTTGTGAGATTTTTTGTGAGTTGTGCTACCGAGCCCGCCGCCGTCTACAACATCACAAACCGTTTGTGAACATTTGTTGACGTTTAGCACTTTTTCAGATGGTTTTGAGACGATCTCATTGCCTCATCTCAAACGTCTCATAAAATGTAGCACTTTTTGAGATCATTGCGTGACGTCTCACAGGTGCATCTCAAACATCACACTTACTATAGCACTTTTTGAGATGAATTTGTGTGAACATTCACAAAGTTCGCAAACGTCAACCCTAAACTGCACAGTTCACAAAACTAGTGTGCCGTTTGAGACGGTTGTGTGTGAGCGCACCACCACGATCAGACGCCTCACACAGTCAAGTGCCTTTCGTCTCACAAAGTGCTCTTCGTGAACAAACTCAACCAAAATTTCCCCCAATCTCACTGTGTCTCGCGGGATTCTGCCCTTTGTGATATCTGCCTGTTCCATCCCACCAATCACCGAATACCCGCACTGTCCACATTTTCTGAAACTTCTGGCCATCTCTCGCTATGGGCGACAGAGCACGGTCCCCGGTGGAAAAAATATCCAACCATCGCATGTCTGCAGACGACAGTCTTAATGCAACGGCTCTTCCCGGGTCTCAGCAGGCCTGTTCGCTACAAGCCTCGCCAGAGAGGCTAAAATATTACCAGAGAGGATTCAACCCATCCGTAGGGATCTGTATCCCGAACTACAGCCTTCGGAGCTATACGAGGACATTTCACCGCCTCTGAAACAGGCAGAGCTGCGTCACACTTCACTTCCAGCAGACCTCCCTGCAGTCCTCGCCGGTTTTTTGACGACGCAGAGTTTTCACCAGCCCCCTGTACCGACACTGCACAGTCCGGACAACACGTATCCCCGCATAACCCCTCCCTGACTTTGCAGCGTTCATACGGGCACCAGGTAGTTAATGGTGGGGCCATGCTCGAGCTTACAGACTCACTGGACGCCAGTGACGTTCCATATTCACAAGAAAGTCCTGTGTCTAGCAGCTTCAACTCCTCCGCAGAGGAAGTGCCTCTCTCTGACGTTGAACTCGAGACGGAAATTAACGAAGCCGAAGTACGTGCATTGCAGCCAACCACCTATCTGGCAGACGTAATAAAGCAAACAGACTCTGATGCCACTCTATGTGAGGACCTCTTCAGTAGGATATATTACGATTTTGATGAGGAGAAATACTCCAGAGAGCATTGGGCGGATTTCGACGCTGAGGCCATGAATTTATGCGTCCCGGTCTCAGCAGACGAATTGGAGGAGCGTGCTCAAGCGCAAAGAAGTGGCGGTCTCGATGGCTGGCACTATGATAGCCCTTTCGACGAAGTATTCTGGAAAATCGACAACGTGAATCGGAGTCTGGAGGGTCGATTTGTAGAAGAATCCAACACTGCACTCGACCGGGTTATTGCAGACATTTCCAGTAGAAAGGATGACCGGGATGGTAGAGATGACTCCGTTACTTTATTAACGCCATTGTCCTGTATGCAGACGTTTGTTACTGAGTGTCTGCTGGAAAAACTTCGGTATGTAGCAAACCGAGTCTTGCACGAGAGAAAAAAAGAGCCAACAACAAAGAAAGAGATACTTGGCCTGCTTATTCTACATATTATTTGTGCTTCGTACAACGAGTCGCCGACTACGGTTTGTGACCCCCTCGAAAGCGGCCACTTCTTCCAAATGGGCCTGTCTGCAGACCGCCACTATGATGTCTGGGGGGCTCTCAGTGGTTCGAAGGAGCCCCGTGCCACACACGACTACAGTTGGACGGGATGGTTCCCTACAGCGAACAGGGCAACGACTCTCATAACTGAGATAGAAGCCGAGGTTGCAGCCGTCAACCGTGACTTACTTTATGTACAAAACACAACTGTCTTCTCGTTAGATGACGATCATTTGCGTATGGCATCGCGGGCTGTTGTTGAACTTACCTACTTGCGACAACACAATAACCCTAAGAACGGTTTGGGGCCTGTAGGTAACGCACTATGCTCCGCTCTGAACCCTTTCTTTATAGCCTGTCATTTTACGCGCACGGGTGAGAAACTGTTGCATACTTGGGAGAGGCTTATCCAGATGGTTCAGGGGGCATCTACGACCGGAGCTTTACGCCCTATGCCGAACGCAATCTTCGCAGCCGATCGCGGCTACAATTCTAAAGAAACAATCTCGTTTCTGTCCGACAAACTAGGTGCAAGCCTACTGGGTACCCATAAGAGGGATTTATGGTACCCGTTTGTATTTGGCGAAGGCCCAATTTCAAGAAGGCACCGAGGGATGGACGTGTCTGAGAGGGGCTGCCGTGCTGTGTACACGGCCCGACTGAAGGGCGGGGGGCTTGCAGTTCCCAGGTTCGACGTGCCGAGGCCTGTGGTTATCGAGAGAGCTGCTCTGGGAGAATTGCTGCCTTGGTTCACAATAATGCATCCCTGTTCCCTTCCAGACGCTTCACTGTTGTGCTGCGTGACTCTTTTCGAACGAAGAGTTCTGTACAGAAGCTACAAGAGTCATTAGTAGCCTTTGACGAATACCACAAATGCGGGGATCAGCCGACAAGGTCCGAATCGGTCCGATCGGACACAGTTAATCATGGCAAAAACAAGGTTGAACAGCTTCTTAGCAGGTGCACCATGCTGACATATTATCAGTCGGAGGACCCGGTTTGGTTCCTCCTTCGTGCATTCCGCTTCACATCATGCACTGCCCATGGCTTTAAAGCCGCTTTGACTAGCGACTACGAGGCTTTATTGGGGGGGCTATCATGGCTGTTGCGGGAGAAAGTGCTAACCATTGGGGCACAGTCTTTGTCTGAAGACCATGTCATTGTTCGGGAATACCTCAGGCCAAAATGGGAGCAGGTTCTCAGAACCCTAGGAATGGCGTTAGTGTAGCATAAACACCCCCAGCGATAGGGGTGTATGCACAGTTCGACCGAGACCCCGTCCGATCGGGAAGACGGGGGTGAAGCAGGACACCAGCTAACGGCACCGGGCAGCGGGCCTGGGTAGCGTGGTAGAGCGGGAACGGGGAGGACGCCGGTACGTGCGAGCGGTTCGACGCCTCGACGCCTCGGCGCGGTACTGGGTAACGATCCAGTACCGACGGGCGGAGGCGGAGCCGACTCGTGGGCGTACCGCGCGCGTCCTCAACCCGCGCTCGGTGCCGCTCTAAGGTAGTTATCGAGCGCTACCTTACAATAAGCGGGAAGTCGGACCTTGACGGTCGGTGGGTGACAAGTCCGTGCTTGTCCTCCTCCCCCGCCGCCGGTCCGCTCCATATTTAATGTACATAATAACCTATCATAATAGTACAGTACCGATGTACTGTAGCGACGTACTGTAGCGGTCGGTCGACACTGTAATACTGTCAGCCATCGGGGCTGACAGTACACGTGTGTGTGCGTTCTTCGGTCCCACGCGTACACGTGTACACGTGGGCCCCCTGTACTCGGGAATACACGGGGTGGTACTGTAGAGCATCGAGCCCTATAGTAACCGATCCGGTTCTGAGTTGATCCAATCTGAAATAAAGCCCCAGGGGGGGGTTATACTACACGGCCCCCCCCTTAAGCGGGGACGTCTGCGTCCACGGGTGGTTGTAGAGAGGGGACAACATGTCCGGCCACGCCGTCTATACGGTCGATTCCGCTCTCCCTGTCTGTAGTATAACCCCCCCCCTGGGGGTTTAAATTAGATTAGATCAAGAACTAGATCAGCTACTGTAGAGCGTCGAGCTCTGCAGTACCACCGCGCGTGTCCACGTGTACACCACGGGGACAAGGGACTTGCGCATACACGTGCACACGTGTATAGCGCGCGAACGAAGCGCGCACGCACCACGAGTGATACGTGTACTGTCAGCCTCGACATAGCTGACAGTATTACAGTGCAGGCCGACCTGCACTACAGTAGCCCACTACAGTACCACGGTACTGTAGTGTTATGATAGAGTGTTTTGTATATTAAATATGGAGCGGACCGACGGCGGCGGAAGGGGACAAGCACGGGCTTGTCCTCAACCGACCGCCAAGGTCAGTGCACCCAGCTTATTCTAAACGTCGCCTTCGCTCTCCGCGCGCGTTTAGTCGGAGCCGAGCCGGAGTGGACGCGCAGCACGCGAGCGAGCACGGAACCGCCTCCGCCCGTCAGCACTGGTACGTCACCCAGTGCTGCTCCGGGGCGTCGAGGCGTCGATCCGCTCGTGCGTGCGCGCGTCCCTGCTCGCTCCCGCTCTACCACCGCTACCCGGGCCCGAGCCCGGTTCCGTAGCTGGTTGGCCCGCTTCACCCCTTCTCCGAACCGGGGTCTACAGGTCGAACTGCGCATACACCTCCAGTCGTCTGGGGGTGTTTATGCTACAGTGGTCTCCCGACCTAGAAGACCCCGAGATCTTTCCGAGAAGACTTTCTTTTTCCTCCGCGTCCGTACGCGTTGAGATGAGTCAAGAATACGCCACCTCGATCCGGTCCGAACCGGCGGATCCGAGGGCGGCCGCTATGCACGCACCATCACCGCCGCTCGGCGACGGCGACGCTGGTCTCCGAGACCGCGAACCGTCGCCCGAGTCCCCCGAAGGACAAGCGGCTGCGATGTTCGATCGCATAGCTGACTACATCGAGGAAGTCCGTACTTCACTCCGTATAGACGTGACGGACGCCGTCTACTC